TTGTGCCTGTACCATTTTTGAAAAGAGGATCATTTTACCACTGATTTGTTTGCATATCTGAGATGAAAATCAACTGGACATATTTGCAAGGGTCTAATTCTGGACTCACTATTCTGTTCCATTGTCCTATACAGCTATATACCTTATAGTAGACTTTATATAGACTCTTGATATCGGGTAGAGTGCATCCTTCAATTACATTCAAAATTGTTTTGACTATTCTAGTTCTTTTGTCATTCCATATAAATTTTAGAATCAGTCTATCAATTTACAAAAAGTTCTGCTTGGCTTTTTATCAGGATTGTGCCAAATTTATACATCAAAAACAGAGAATTAATGTCTTTATTATGCTGAGTCTTCCAATCGATGACCAACGTATGTCCCTTCATATATTAAGGTCTTTCTTAACTTCCTTTATTAGTGCTTAGTAGTTTTCAGCATTCACATCTCTTCACATTTATTGATAGATTTATGCGCATGTATTTGAGATGCTCTAAACCAGTGATGGTGAACCTATGACACGCGTGCCAGAGGTGACACGCGAACTCATTTTTTGGGTTGATTTTTCTTTGTTAAATGGCATTTAAGTATATAAAATAAATATCAAAAATATAAGTCTTTGTTTTACTATGGTTGCAAAGATAAAAAATTTTCTATATGTGACATGGCACCAGAGTTAAGTTAGGGTTTTTCAAAATGCTGACACGCCGAGCTCAAAAGGTTCACTGCTGTAAACAGCAATTTTAAAATTTCAATTTCTACTGGCTGTTAGTATTATATAGACATGTAATTGATTTCTGCAGGTTGATCTTTTCTTTCACAACCTAGCTAAAATTAAAGTCTTTGGAAGTGTCTACACAGACAATGTCATAAGTTTAGAGACTATTTTATTGCTTCCTTTCATACATATAGCCTATTTCTTTGTTGCCTTGTTGTAGGACCTCCAGTAGGATGCTGAATAGAGTGGTGAGAGCGAATATACTTCCCTTGTTCCCACCTTGGGAGGAAATAAATTAGTTTTTACCATTAAAATTAATGTAAGCTCTAAGATTTCTATAAATGCCTTTTATCCAGTTAAGATTTCTAGTTTGCTCAGAAGTCTTATTATGAAAAGATGATGAGTTCTGTCAATTGCTTTCTGGGGGCATCTAATAAGATGATCATGTTGTTTTCTTCTTTGCAGTCTCTTGATATTATAAATTATACTGATTAATTTTTAAATCTGGACCAACCTTGTATTTATGGGATAAATCTTTTTTTTAATTAATTTTTTATTTTTATTTTTTGCTAAAAGTATTACAAAGGGTATTACATATGTGTCCTTTTTCCCCCCCCCCGACCTTGACAATCCCCTACCCTCCCTTACCCCCCAGTGTCTTATGTCCATTAGTTATGCTTATATGCATGCATACAAGTCCTTCGGTTGATCTCTTACTCCCCTCCCTTCTGCCCCCCAACCCTCTCTGGCCTTCCCACTGCAGTTTGACAATCAGTTTGAGGCAGCTCTGCCTCTGTATCTATTATTGTTCAAAAGTTTGTAATGGTCTTTATTATCCATGAATGAGTGAGATCATGTGGTATTTTTCCTTCATTGACTGGCTTATTTCACTTAGCATAATGCTCTCCAGTTCCATCCATGCCGTTGCAAATGGTAAGAGTTCCTTCTTTTTTACAGCAGCATAGTATTCCATCGTGTAGATGTACCACAGTTTTCTAATCCATTCATCTACTGATGGGCACTTAGGCTGTTTCCAAATCTTAGCTATGGTGAATTGTGCTGCTATGAACATAGGGGTGCATATATCCTTTCTGATTGGTGTTTTTGGTTTCTTGGGATAATATATTCCTAGTGGGATCACAGGGTCAAATGGGAGTTCCATTTCCAGTTTTTTGAGGAAACTCCATACTGTCTTCCATAGTGGCTGCACCAGTCTGCATTCTATGGGATAAATCTTAATAGGTTATGATGCATTAGTATTATATATGATAGGTTTGATTTGTTAATATTTTGTTTGTATAAAGTTTTGGTTCTATATTTATTAAGGCTATTGTTTGTAATTTTCTTGCAATGTCTTTGTCTGGTTTTGGTATCACTCTAATGTTGTTCTTATGGAATAAGTTGAGAAGTATTCCCTTCTCTTATATTTCTTGAAGAGTTTGTGTAGAGGTGCTATTGTCTATTCCTAAAATGTTTGGTAGAATTCCCCAGGTATGCCATCTGGGTCTGCAGTTCTCCTTGAGGGAAGGTTTTAACTCTCTTTCTTTAATAAATATAGGACTATACGGGTTACCTATATCTTTCAGTAGTTTTGGTATTTTGTGTCTTAAAAAAAGTATTTTTTTTTTAAATCATAGGACCACCTTATTGGGCTAATACCATTCTATTAACAAGAAAACTGAGCCTTAGAGAGAGAAGTAAACTTAGCCAAGCTAATCCAACTAAGTGGCAGAGCAGGGTTTAGAAGTTACAAAGTCCTTTTTTAAAAAAATATGGTTCCATGTTTAAAAGCGTTTTAGTGAAAATTTTGGGTGAAGATTCAAGGTCAATCTCATCGCACTCGGTATTTTCTTTTCACCCACCCCTCTCCTCACTCCCCTCCCCTTTGGCAACCATTATCTGTTCTCTGTATCTATGTCCCTGTTTCTGTTTGTTAATTTGTTTTGTCGTTTTAGATTCCACATATAAGTGAAATCATATAGTTGTCTTTTCTTTTTGATTTCATTTTTATAATACCCTTTACATATGTCCACCATGTTGTCTCCATTGGCAAGATTTCATTCTGTTTATTGTTAAGTAATACTCCATTGTATGTGCATATGCGTCTGTGTGTAGGTATCACATTTTCTTTATCCATTCATCTATCAGTGGACACCAGTAATTTGTGTCTTTCCAGGAATTTGTCAATTTCATTTAAGTTGTCAAATTTATAGGCATAATGTTTTTTGTAATATTGACTTATTATTCATTATTCCTTACATCTACAGGACAGTGTTGTCTTCTCACTTAAAAAATGTTTTTATTGATTTTTAGAGATAGAGGAAGGATAAGGGAGAGATAGAAACATTGATGACCTATTGGCTGCCTCCTGCACACCTCTACTGGGGTTTGAGCCTGCAACCCAAGCATGTGCCCTGATTGAGAATCAAACTGGTGACCTCTTGGTTCCTAGGTTAATGTTCAACCAGAGCCACACCAGCTGGACTCATTCTTGATATTAATAATATCATCCTTTTACTTGTCGTTCTAGCTGTAGGTATATCTATTTTATCAATCTTGTCTAAGAAGCAGGTGTTAGTTTCACTGAATTTTCTGTACTATTATATGTTTTCAATTTCATTGAATTTTAGTTTTATTATTCTGTTACCTCGTTTTGAATTTACTCCCTAGTGCCTTAAACACTGTTTTTTAAAAATGTGTGTACAGAGTTTATCATTGTTTTCAGTAAGAGAGTCGGTCTTTTACAATTTATTCCCCCATTACCTATTGTGATATATCTCAGACATTTTAATATAACTTATTTTTAAGCCAGTGTGTGTTTAGTTTTTGGTCCTTCCAAGCAAAAAACCCTAACATACATGTAAACAGTAGTTCACATTGTATAAACTGAAGTGCCAAGAATATGTTGGAGGTGGGGACTCCTACAACTAAAATTATTTTTGTTTCAACTTGTCATAAATTAAAAGTCAATTTAACAGGAGGAGGAAGCACATATGACTCTTTCTTTACTTATAGGTAAAACTATCTACAAAGTGTTTCCACTGTATTTACAAATGAAGAATAAATGGAAATATCATTACCTTTACATTGAGGAGGGTCACTACTCCATTCGCCAGGCCCAGAACAAGAAAGCTTGCTCTCTCCAACAAGTGAATACTCCTGAGGTCCATCTGAAGGGTCACAAGTATAAGACACTACTTCATTAAATTCAAATTCAACCCTCCAGCTATTCGTGCGTTTTCCATTTTCTATTATTCCAGGTTCTCCACATAAAATCTCTAAGAGAGAGAGAGAGAGAGGGAGAGAGAGAGAATATATATACAGAGGAAAATGAGAGGAAAATGAAAGATTAAGACAACATTTAGTAAATTCAATAAATTCATTAACGTGATTTCTATAATCTAGTGGTGAATCTACTACCCATTTAGAATGTTTCTGTGAGAAAATGTTATTACCCCAAAGTCAAACCATATAGAAATGAACTTCCAAAAGAAAATTGATTTTCTTAAATACCTATATGAAATACCATTATTTATCTATAAGGTTATGCTAAGTTTTGTTCTAGTCATCATAAGGTTTGCTGAAAATTTGAGGAGAAAATATGCATGTGATTAAAGCTTCACTGATAGTTGAGAAATGCTTTATAATTTATAAATATTTGCTAATTCATTGGTTCACAATGATACTGAGATATGTCTTTTTTTCACTTTAAACCTTACGAGTGCAGTGAAATGTTCCAGAAGCTACAAAATGAGTTATTTCACAACAGATTGAATCTAAGTGTCTTCCTTTAAGCCAGATTTTGAAGAGATTTATGAAAGTGTAAAATAATGCTACCATTCTCACAATTTGTTTTTGGACATTTAAAAATTTTTTTATAAAATATAATTAAACATGCATCGACTTTACTGTTTTTTAAAAAATTTATATTAATGAATAATTATTTTAGAAACTTGTTTTCATTCCAATATAATAAATATCAATAGACATAAATCACATAAAGTGAAGCTCTTTGGAATCTTTGTTAATTAAAAACATAAAGGGCAAAAATGTGGAGAAAAGGGAGCCCTCTTACACTGTTGGTGAGATTGTAAATTGGTGCAGCCACTATCAGAAACAGTTGTGAGGTTCCTCAAAATATTAAAAACATAAATACAATTTGACCCAGCCATTCCACTTGTTGGCATTTATCAGAAGAAAACAAAAACACTAATTCAAAAGATATATACACCCCTAGGTTCATTATAGCATTATTTATAATAGCCAAGGTTTAGAAACAACCTAGATGTCCATCAATAGATGAATGGATTAAAAAGGTGATACATACACACACACACACACACACACACACATATATATATACACACACACACATATATGTATATATATACACACACAAACACACACATATATACACTGAGTGGCTAGATTATTATGACCGGCCAGATTATTATGACCACCCATAATACTAGGCTTGGTGCATGAAATTTGTGCACGGGGGTGGGGGTGTCCATCAGCCCAACCTGCACCCTCTCCAATCTGGGACATGCCTCTCACAATCCAGGACTGTTGGCTCTCAACCACTCACCTGACTGATTGCCCCTAACCACTCCCCTGCCAGCCTGATTGATGCCTAACTGCCCTCCCCTGCCGGCCTGGTCGCCCCCAACTGCCCTCCCTTTCAGGTCTGGTCCCTCCCAACTGCCCTCCCCTGCCGGCCATCTGGTGGTGGCCATCTTGTGTGTTGGAGTGATGGTCAATTTGCATATTACTATTTTATTAGATAGGATACAAATATACATCCATATGCAATGGGATATTATCAGACCAAAAAAAAAGAATGAAATCTCATCATTTGCCAATAACATTGATGGACTTAGAGGGTATTATACTAAATGAAATGAGTCAGAGAAAGAAAATACCACGTGATTTTATGACATGTGGAATCTAAAATAAGAAACAAACCAAATAGAAATAGACTTATAGATACAGAGAACAAACTGATGGTTGCAGAGTAAAGGGGGCTGGGAGGATGGGTAAATAAGGAGAAGGGGAATAAGAGGTATAGATTTCCAGTTATAAAATAAATCCATGCCAGACCAGTGTGGCTCAGAGGCTGAGCTTTGACCCATGAACCAGGGAGTAATGGTTCAATTCCAGATCAGGGCACATGCCCGGGTTGCAGGCTTGGTCGGCAGTATGGGTTATGCAGGAGGCAGCCAATCAGTGATTCTCTCTCATCACTGATGTTTCTATCTCTTTCCCTCCCTTCCTCTATCTGAAATCAATAAAAATATATTTTAAAAAATGAATCAAGTCACCAGGATGTAATACATAGTGCAGGGAACCTATAATAATAAAAGCATAACATGCTAATTAGACTGGACGTCCTTCCAGACGAAGCCGGGGCTGGGAGGGAAGCCAGTGCTGGCAGATGGGGAAAGGAAGGCCTACTCTTGCATGAATTTCGTGCATCAGGCCTCTAGTACAATAATAATGTAATACATTTCAATAGTGACAAATGGTTACTATACTTATCATAGTGATTACATTGTAAGGCACATAAATAAAAGAATCACTATGCTGAAACTAATATACTATTATATCTCAATTATACTTTACTTTAAAAAAAATCAGCATAAGTGGGTCTCCCAGGCCAAAAATATTGAGAATTGCTGGTCTAAATTCTAAAGTGGAAATTTACTTACTTTCACATGTTGGGATATCACCGCCCCAATACACTGTGTCTCCAGAAAGTTTACAAGTTAAAATTGGTTCACCTTTTAAGTAATAACTAAATGAAGGGGGGAAAAAAAGGTTACTGTTTTATTTACCAGTTAACAAGATGTACATAATAAAGAGGAACATTTCATATAAGTTGTTTTCTGCACTATAATAAGTTGAGGGGGAATTTTCTTAAATAGCACACTATCATGAAAGTTCTAACCAAATCTGGAATTTAACTAAACAGTCTCTGCATTTGCACACACATGGGCCAAGAGCAAAGATATCTAAATACATCTGTCATGCCTGGCAGGCTGGCCTCTTTGCTCTCCTGGGCATAACACATTAATTTCCATGGCTTTGCTCCTTCTATTCTGCTCAGTCACACAACAACTCAGTACAGAGACAAGGCTCTGGAGCTTGCCTACTGGATTCGAGTCCCAGCTCTCGCACTGACTGGTTATTTGAGTTTGGGCAAGTCCCTTCATGTTTCCCTTTCCACATACCTCATCTATGAATAGGAGATAATAGTTTATATGTCATAGGGCTGTTTTGAGTATTAGATGAGTTAATAGTGAGTGCTAGGTAAGTTTTAGCTCTTATTAATACAGGCATACCTCAGCGATATCATGGGTTCGGTTCCAGGCCACCACCATCAAGTGATTATCACAAGAACTCGAATCATACAAAACTTTTGGTTGACCAGTGCATATGAAGTTATATTTATACTATAAAGTAGTATATTAAGTGTTCAATAGCATTATGTCTAAAGACAGAATGTATATAGTTTAATTTAAAAATGCTTTATGCTTAATAAAAAAAAAAAGCTAATCATCATTGAGCCTTCAGCCAAGTTGTGACTTTTTTGCTGGTGGAGTGTTATGCTTGGATATTGATAAAAATGCAATACATGCAAAGTGCAATAAAGCAAAGCACAATAAAACGAGGTATGCATGTATTCTTTAAATCAGGATGTGTTTCTTAGGATAGCTCAGACATACTACTTGATGAAATCTCTGATTACTTAAATTCACAGTACTCTCTTCCTTCTGGATTCTCATTGCAATAATCATGAACTACTATTTGGTACTTCTCCTTTACTATTTTGCCGTCACATCTCTCTGTCTATATTGTATTTCTCAATAAGGATACAATTTCTGAGAGAAAAAATCTGTGTCTTAAATGTTTGGTACCCCTCAAAATGCTTTAGCAGTCGCTCTGTATATAACTATTAAATGGATGTTCCATTATTTTTACTTGATCAAGTTAAAAAATAGTGAAACAGTTTGTACAGTTTCAGAAGGTTCACTCATTTTCTCCATATTTTAGTGTTTTCAGAGAGAATTCTGAGGAGATGTCAGAGTAGGACTTTGTCACTCCAACTAGACAACAATTTCAATAGCAGGATCTGCTTGATTTAACTATTTTTGAACTAGTCTATTGAGGGCTTGAAATTTCCAGGGAAAGACTCCAACAAGTAAACGTAATTTCAGCTCTTAGGAAAATAGCAGCTATACATCCCCCACCATCCACAATGTGGCAGGCAGCTGTGTCTGTATTCCTCAAGCAGCCTGCAAGAGCCAGGGGGGCAAAAAGGCCCTGCCCTACAAATATCAGAAAACTGTGTTCTGATTACTGCTGCGGATCACAGAGAAGTGGACAAAGAGATGGGAGGCCATTGTAGCATCTGCTTCTTTAGCTGGCCCTTTCCTCCCCAGCTGAAACGACTCTCAGGGGATTTAAAGATCCTGCACCCTTTTCTCTCCACTACATATTTTTCTTTTCCTCTCTCAGGAGGCAGATATTAAAAACCAGGATCTTCAAAAAGAACTGCATAGATAGAGAAAATTAGAAATTGGGTGCATGTGCTCAGGGCAAGGCTCAGAAACAACCTGAGAAGACCTTCAGTTTATATCTCGGGCTGATCCTCAGCACAGAGACACCAAACTACAATGAAAGTATCCAAAGACAATACCCAAAATAGCAAGGTCTAAGGAAGGTAAAGAAGCTGATTTCTAGAGTTACCACATTATTAGATTCAATTATGCAGTATTCCTAAAAAATAAAATGAATCACAAGGCATGCCAAGAAAGAGGCATGTATGATCCATTTTTTAAAAAATCAACAAACTGTCTCTGATAAAGGCATTGATGGCAGATTCACTAAACAAAGACTTCAGAATAACTCTGAAAGATGCACAAAGAACTAAATGAAAAAAATGAAGGAAGGTTAAAAAATGATGTGTGAACAAACTGAAATATCAATAAACAGATGAATAAAAAACAGAAAAAAACAACAAAAAGAAATTCTGGAATTCAAAAGTACAATATGCCTTGAAAAATTCACTAGAGGTTTTAAAGGTAGATTTGAGCAGGCCAAAGAATGAATCAGTGAACATGAAGTTAGGACAATAAAAATTGTCTAAAGAACAGAAAGAAGAAAAAATGAAGAAAAGTTAACAGAGCTTAAGGGACCTGTGGGATACCATCAAGTGGACCAACATGCACATTGTGATAATTCCAAAATGAGAAGACAAAAATGGGCAAAAAGAATATATAAAGAATATGAAGGCTCACAGCTCCCCAAATTTGATAACAGACAGGAATATAAACACCCAAGAGCTCAATAGCCACCAGGTAAAATGATTTCAAAATGACCTACACTAAGACACAATACAGTAGACGCTCCAGATCTGTAGGTTTTACATCTGTGGATTTAACCAACCAAGAACTGAAAATATTCTTAAAAAGAAAAAGTACAGATTTCTTTTTCTTGTCATCATTCCATAAACAATACAGTGTAACAACTATTTTATACAGCCTTTACATTGTATTAGGTATTATAAGTAGTCTAGAGGTGATTTAAAGTACACAGGGGGATGTCTATAGGTTAAGTGCAAATACTATGTCCTTTTATACCAGGGACTTGGATTAGTATCAGCAGGGGGGTGGGGAGGTGTGCTGGAAATAATCCCCCAATGATACATAAGGACTACTGTAATCAAACACTCAAAAACCAAAGACAGAGAATCTTGAACTAGGAGAGGGAATAAATCATGACATACAAGGGGTTCTTAATAATATAATCAGTATATCACCAGAAAATTTGGAACCCAGAGACAGTGGGTAGATATACTAAAAGTGCTAAAAGAAAAGAACAACTCAAAACCCAAAATACTTTACCCAGCAAAACTGTCCTCAAAGTGAAGGGGGAATTAAAACAGTCCAGGGTAAACCAAAGCTGAGGGAGCCTGTGGCCACTAGAACTTCCCTATAAGAAATTTTCAAAGGAGTCTTCCAAGGTCAAATAAAAGGGCACTCGAAAGTAACTTTCACCCATATGGGAAATAAACTTCTCACTAACAGTAAATACATGGGCAATTATAAAAGCTTGTATTGTTTTAAAAATAGTTGGTAACCATAATTTTGTTCTCTTCACAATTTAAGAGATAATACATTTAAAGAAAAAAATTTTAGTGTAAAAACTAGCAGTACTGTAACTTTTAAAAATATATATATTTCTTATTGATTTCAGAGAGCAAAGGGGAGAGAGAAAGGGATAGAGAGATGAGAGAGATGATGAGAGAGAATCGTTGATTGGCTGCCTCCTGCAGCCCCACACTGGGGATCAAGCTTGCAACCCCGGCATGTGCCCTGACTGGGAATCGAACCTGTGACCTCCTGGTTCATAGGTCGACACTCAACCACTGAGCCACACCAGCCAGGCCTGTAACTTTGTTTTTTAACTCCAAATCTTGTTTTGTATATAAGTTAAGAGATAATGCATTTAAAAGAATATGAAAAGATGCAATTTTGAGACAGTAACAACCAAATGGGGTGGCTATGACTCTATAAAGGAGTTAAGCTTTTGTGTATTAAACTGGTATAAATTCCAATTTAGATTGATATAACTTTTGGATTTTAAATGTAATCCCCATGGTTACCACACAAAAAAATAGCAATAGAGTATACTCAAAAAGAAATGAGGAATAATTTTTAACATTTCATTACAAAAAAGACAATTAACATAAAAGGAAGACAGTAATGCAGGAAATGAACCAAAAAGGCTACCAGGCATATAGAAAGCATATACCACAAAGGCAGAACTCCCTCCTTGTCACAAATTTACATTTAAATGACCAACTCTCTAATCACAAGAAGGAAGTTGGCAGAATGAGCACATAATCCTACTATATGTTGTCTACAAGACACTCATTTGAGATCCAAAGACAAAATCAGTTGATGGATGGAAAAAGATATTCCATGCAAACAGTATCCCCCCAAAAAGCGGGAGTGGCTGTACTAGTATCAGGTAAAACAGACTCAAAATCAAAAAAGTTTACAAGAGACAAAGGACCTTAAGTATTATTAATAAAAGGTACCTAACAAGCAGATAAAACGGTTATAAACATTGACACCCAATGACAGATCATCAAAATATAGGAAGCAACAGAACTAGAGAAACACACCCTTCTACATAACAGCCATTTCTACCATAATAGTTACAGACTTCAATACCCCACTCACAATAGAGTATAGAGCCACCAGATAGAAAGTATGTAAAGAATTAAAGGACTTCAACAACACATTTCTGTGAGCCCTCCTTCAACTCTGAGACTTGTTTTGTTTTTAATAGGGTGCATGTTGTTGTCAAGGATGAAGTCACCATGATTACTACACTTGTGATGCTTACAATAAGCTGATTGTTACCTATAGCAAGGGTTATGTAATTCGGCTTTCCTTTAAGTTTCTATTAAGTCCCTATGTTTTCAGTCTCCCTAAAAAGCCCGGGAGTTGATTGGCTGCAAGTGCAACTTGTCACACAGAAAGCAGGTGAAATCAACTTTATGGGAATGTTTAAGACAGTGGTTCTCAACCTTGGCTGCACATTAGAATCACCTGGGAATCTTTTTAAAACCCTGATTGGATTTTAAAAAGATTCCCAGGCGATTCTCATGTGCAGCCAAGGTTGAGAACCACTGGTTTAAGAAGAGAAGAAAAACAATATCGAACCGGTAACATCTACCTTCTTTTCTCTAAGGGGCCACTTACCCATAGTTGCAATAAAAGTAAGCATCTTTATCAAATTGAAAGCCCGTTTGTGGTTCATACTGCTCAAAGACTTCACCGTTAGGAACCTTGGGAGTTGGACATTGTTTTTCTAGAAGAAAATTTGCAAATTCATTTTTTTATACAAATTTCAAAACAGATTTAATAAAAATAATTCTACACCGCTGTTGTCAATTCACGCAATAGTATTTGCTGGAGTTAACTATTAGAAGGGAAAACATAAACTCACATTTACCCAAACCACGCCTACAAAAAACTTCCCCGGGAGATTTGTCAAAGCCTAACCACCTGTCTTGCTATCTAAAACCTCGTTTCCCATGAGAAAATCATCATTGCCACAGTGGGAAACGAATCCAAGCATGTGTTAAAAGCAAAACCAGCACCACCAGAGCAAGCACACATGCATACAAAAAAAGAAAGGTTTTATTTACTTACTGTAACAAGCTTCATCAATAGGGTACCAGGAGTTATTTTTCTCACAATAGGTGCTGAGGCCATAAAAATAGGAATAATAATATCCTGGATTACATTGATAATATACTCTCTCCCCAGGTAAATATGCAGGTTGAGGGGGAACCTTTAACTTCATAGATTGAAACACTGGTGGTTTACCACAGAGACCTAAAAGTAAGGAAATACAAGCATAAAAATGAAATATTTAATCTCCTTGACCAGCCAGGGACTGTGGCGTGGTAGCAGGTGGGTAGTCCAGAATAAATGGAAAGATACTTGGTAAGATTTTAAAGATTTGTTCCCTGCTTTCACCCAAGGGTCCTAGGAGTGGGCCATGTGCTGCCCTTGCTTTAAATAGCATTGTATTCGCTTTTGGTTTGTTGGGGAATGAGCTGGATTTTTATTCATCAGTAAATTTAGGAAGCAAATATCAGTGTTTTAGGTCTGAAAGATATACCATATAGGTATGCATCATTCCCCATTTCTTTTGAAATTCATTTCAAAACTCAATTCTCTTCTAAGAAGTCTTTTCCCCCCCTCAGCCTTTTCATTTCAGTAATTTCTCTCTTTTTTTTTTTACCTGTGGGCTTGAAAATCTAAAAAAAATGTGTTAGAACAATTATGTAAAATAATGTGATGGAGACACATCAAGTAAAGTCCTAAAGAATCAGGGGTCTTTCCTATTCGCCGGAAGGATCTTTAAAAAAAGGAGATAGACCTATTCTGATCCCGGAGGAACATTCCTCCTGTCTTACACCCTGGATTGTTATCACTTCAGATGGTGAGACCAGTCAGGAGTATTCCAAACAAGTCAAATTTTACTCTTCTTTCGTACCATATTCTAAAAATCTGAAATTATATATACCCAGTCCAACATTTCATTGCCATCATGCCCTAAAGTCGATGCAACCCTAAAGCCCTCGTAATTAACAGCATTTTTTACAAGAGGATTACTTGAGAGGTTGGTTTTATGAACATTTACTGAATACCCTGAGCGAGACATTCCCATTTACAATAGGAAAACAAATAGCTAGAAATTCTATATAATTCTGTTCTCATCCAAAGGCATAAGATCACTCTAGAATTTCCTGGAACCAGCAAGAAAGAAAGCACACAACAGCATGATTAAATTAGGCAAGCAACCTTTGTTTGATGCAATCTCAGTAACTGAAAGCATGTAAAGAAAAGAGGATTCCTAATATGTCTTTTTATACAATAAAAGTGCTTTTAATAGTAAGTGTTTATATAACATAACTCATTAGATTCCATGAAACGTCGCAGACAGTGTATGGCCTTCAGCGTTTAGTTTATGAGCTGTACAATAGTACCATTGCTTACTGTTCATTTCTTACGATTCTCATTTCTCACTAGGTTTAGCTACCAATGTTTTCTTCGGTTGCTTCCGAATCTTCCCTAGATAGGACCCAATCTAATGGGGGGCCCAGGCGTGGGGGGGAGGGGGGGAGGACAAAATACCAATACGACTTGGGGGCAACAATGAGCCTGTAACCTTTATGTACAAAAGGCACTGCGCGCCCTTCCCAATCCTAAATCCGAGGACGCAGGGCTATTCTCACTCAAGGGCTCCACGTGCGCTCCCAGCCCCGGTACAAAGCCAACAGCGAGCTTCCAGGCGCCGCGCTCCACAAAGCGCACACCAGGCCACACCCAGCCAAGGCTCCCCCAGCCCCGCGCGGCCGGGCACCCACACTCCACTCAGCCGCGCATCCCCACACCCAGGGAGCACAGCGCACACACCCCTCCCGGGCACAGCTCGGGCCCCAGCAACATCCCCACGCGCAGGGCACTCGAGAGCAAGCCCTCGTCTGCAGCCCAGGTGAGGGCTCCCCATCCCGAGCGACTCCGTGCACAAACACCTGCAAGCTTCAGCTGGAGGCATTCCCTCGTCCCCCGCAAACACCCGCGGCGCCCCAGCATCCCGCAAAGCTCAGTGCCGACCACCCAGCAGCCTTCATCGCCGCCACTACAGGGACCCACCGCCCCAGCACAACCCGAGGATCTGTGGCTGAGCCTTCTACCCCAGCTCCGCACCAGCCGGGGCCAAGCCCTGCGCCTCCCACCGGACCCTGACCCTGACCCTGACCCACCAAGAGAATCTCCTCCCCTGTTTCCCGCTCCCGCCACCCCCACCCCCGCCTTCGGCACCCTTCAGCCCGCTCCCCAACCTTCTCCAGTTCGTTTCCGGAGCGCACACCCTCTCCAGGTTCCTACCAAGGGATGGGGGTAACTGGAGCACTAGGGTCACCAAAGTGATCCCCACGAAGCACCAAGAAGAAGAGGGACTCTCGGGGGGGCGGGGAGGTGCCCTGCGCGGCTCGCAGGACCGGGTCATGTTGCGGGAGGCCCGCGGGAATCCTCAGGGGCAGCGTGCACTTACCTTCCTGGCCGCGGGCACCAGACGCAACAATCGCTAGACTCACAAAGTGTCAGCAACCGCAGGTGGGCGTGACCGGCGCGGCGTGCGGGGCCGAGG